TTGCTGGTTATATCTTCTTAACTCAAGAGAAATGTGTCTTCTTCCTTGCTCATTACAGCTGCCTGATATGGACTGGCACCCCCAAAATCTCTCCACTTAGTAGCTAAGCAATAAGTATGTGGTTCTTGTCACCATTTGCCATAAATCAATCTTTTTTTCCCAGACTATTTAAGCATAGTTCTATGCTGAGAAGTCACTTCGTGTATCTTTAGGTGATTTTCTGTGCAGTGAAAGGTGCCTATGGAAGTCTGATTGACTGTGGGTAATAAGAAATTCCTCACTCTAAATAAAAAGAATAGATTCCCTTCCAGATTTATTTTAGTAATTCAATGCCATTAATTCTCTATTAGTTTTATATTCCTTCCAGTACTGCTGGAGTCTCAGCAAAGCTTTAGGAGAGATTAAACCAAGCAATAATTTCCCATGACCATTTCAAGACAGAACTGTATGAATTCCTAATGCTGAAACAAAATTTACCTTCATTACCCTAGCCCAACTATTTTGGCCTACTGAGCTATTTATTTTGATGAACAAGAAAGGAAAAATGGTGGTTGATCCTCAAACTCCTCCACCAGGCAGAGATCATAGCCTGGCAGAAGCTGAGACCCTTCATTAGTGTGCTAATAGCTATGGAAAGAATAGATGAGAATAGAGGAGAAGGTGACTGTTCTGCCTGTCTTTTCCCCAGGTGTGCCCTCTCTTTGCCTTCCCTCCAGACTAGCTATCCCCTCGTGTTTGGGAGCACAGGGGAAGCTTGTTGCCTTTCCACGTGCAGTTAATAAAGCACCAGTGTCTGGCACAACACTTGCCTACAGGGCACCACATGCATGTTCCTGCTTGGCCAGGTGCACCTTTCTGCAGGCACAATGCCATCCAAGCCCTAGGTCTTTGCTGGCCCACCCAAGTGAAGCTGGGCTGGTGCCACAGCATAGCACAGGGCTGCACTAAGATGCTGGAGCTGAAAGGAGAAGGAAGCAGTTTGGGAAGTGCTGCCTTGGGGCAGTGAAGTCCTGCCAGGTTCAGCCCTAGGATAGCTATCCCCAGTATAAAACTGCTTCAGCAAGGCAGGATGACATTGGATGTGTGCAGAGCATCAGGGATGAGGAGGAATAGCCAGAGTGACACTTGATCTGCCTGGCTGCACACCCAGAATAGCCCCTCCATGCTGAGCCCTCCTGCCTTTGGTAGCATTGCATGTGTGTCTATTGCACCAGCAGCATCCAAACTGCAGCAACAGGGCTGGAAATTTGCATGGGGCAGAGAACAACATAAAACATAAATAATCTCTCTAGACTGTAAAAATAGAGGAAAAAAAAAAAAAAAGCAGCAGAGTAAAGCTGTTGTCCAACTCTTCTGTGTTTGATGGATGTGTAGATAAACTTCAACCAAGCATGAAACAGCTCAGGTGAAAATGAATAGAGAGAAATGCAAACCCTTCACACATGTTGCAGAAGCCAAGAGCCAGCCAACCAGCAACATTCAACTGGCCATGATGTAAGCTAAACTTCAGGAAATAAAGCTGCCCATTTTTCTAATGGGAAGGTATTTTTTAACTATATAGTTATTAGTGTTGAGATAATTTGGGGATTTAGGGCTGGAGGTACCTGCTTTAGAGAAAATCTGATTTTCCTTTGCAAACCTCACTGTGGATTTGGAGTTCTTTCTTCTTACTTCTTCTCCTGGGGAAGAACTGTTTCAAACATTTACAAATTATTTTCCCTTTTGTTGGACAAGTGCTTTTAGAAGAGGGGAGAAAAGGCTTGGCAAGAAAAAGACAGAGAAGAGGGCTTGAATTACATAGTCTGAAACTAAGGCCCTAAAGAAATTACTGGATCAGAACATTTTCACCCCCCATGAAAACTTAACTACTTGAAACATTTGCAAATGTGTGGCAAGGTGAGTTAAGAACATTCCCAGAGGCAGGAAGAAGACTGACGAAGTATGTCCTTACCAACCTTAAATTTTTATATGCTAAGGAATTTCTAAGATGTGAACTTGAAATCTGTCTTGATGTACTTTTTGGCATTTCTGGCTTGGTTAAACCAGCCTCTTGGCCTGCCAAGAATTTGGTGCATTAGGCTGGACTGCAGGCTTATACCAGTGCCTCAGGCATCACCAGGACTGCTGGAGCGGCTGCTGGGGCTCGTCCCAGGCCACACCAGAGGAGCTCCAGCACAGCCCCTGCCGCCCTTTCCAGCCCAAGGAGCTATCCCCACTCAGCAGGGCAGACTGGCCAATGCCCCACGCCTGCAGCTCCAGTGCCCTGCCCTGACGGTGCCGTCTCTCCCACAGACGTACAGGCGGTGGAGCTCCGAAGGCCGCGGGGGAAGACGAGGCCACGACGCCCCCATGATCGCGTACGATGCCCTGATGGGCTGCGGCGGGGACTGGACAGAGCTCTGCAACCGCTCCATGTTCCACGGAGGTGAGGGTCCCCTGTGCCTCCCACCCCTGCTCCCTCGCCAGGGCCAGCACAGCGCCCTCCTGGCTGTCAGCTGCCTCTGTTGGCCAATCTGCCATGTTGTCTGTAACACTGTCACCCCTGGTTTTAGCCTCTAAACCCCATTCTTCTGGCAGCAGCTGCCACACGAGCCAATTACAGCACTTTTCAAATGTTGCTCCATCCACATCTCATGGTTCCTCCAGAGGTGCGTGAGGAGGAAGCCAGCATGACTTTCTAAAGGGCTGACAGATCCTGACAGAACACATGCACCTTTGGCAAAACAACCTTTTTGCTGCATGTAATGAAACCAAGTAAGGGAGAAAAATAATACAGCACCCAAACAAAGGCCAGCCAAATAAAATCCAGCGCTTGGAGGCACACAATTAAGTACTTCTACAGATTTGTGAAAGAGAACTTTCTCATTAGCAGTTGCATCTTGCTGGACTTTTGGGAGGGCCAGCAGAGCTGGGGGGCAGGACCCCAGCACTGAATCACCCACTCCCTCCCTACATGGTGTGGGCCCTTTGCAGGGGCTCTAGGTCTCTCACCTGCCCCAACACAGTGTTGAGAGCTCACAGTCCCCCACTGCAGACCCTGGCAGGCACAAACCCACAGTCACAGCATGCACAGAGCATCAGTGCTCCTCATCCTCAGCAAGGCTGGTTGTTTTAAAGCCTGCACAGTGCTCTAAAATGGCTGGGCTGGGCTGGGCTGGGCCCTGTGAGAAGGGAAGGGACACTCCAGTCCAGGACCTTTGTTGTATAGTAGACACCTCTGCAACTATTATTCCCTCCTTTGTTCTTAGCAATGGCCGGCTGCCTGCAAGAGCTGCTGTGCTGGGGTAGGTTTTCCCGAAACCAAGTGAGCACCCAGCCCAGGAGCGCACACCACAGTGGCATCTCCATGCGCTCGCCTTGGCATCATTCTCTTACTTAGGCATCCTTAGCCTTTGGGACTGGCCCAACGTGCTCCCATCAGTGTGGGATGCTCCCTCCAGTGCAGTTTTCAGTTGTGTATGTGAAGGTGACACTAAGAGACCACTGCAATTGTGCTTAATCCTGCAGGGGAGAGCGCGGCTACTGGGTCCATCGCCGGCTGCCTGTTTGGCCTGGTTTACGGCCTGAGCAAGGTGCCCAAGGGCTTATACCAGGACCTGGAACAAAGGGAGAGGCTCGAGTTCTTGGGCGAGAATCTTTACCGACTATCCATGGAGGAAAAGTAAAGCAGTTTCTGCCATTTTCTCTTTCTATAAAGACTATATCAAACCCTGTAGATACCTGACTGGCATTCATAGTGAAGGAGGTGGCCCTGGGTTAGTCTGAAGAGCTCTATGTACATCGCGTGAAAGTGAAGATAGCTGAGTTCTTAGACTGATTAGGATTATTAGACTGATTAGATACATGTGATATTTGTGGGTTTTTTACAGATGCAGGGATTTCTAAATACAAGGAGTGCTGCTTAAACCTCAAATGGCAAAAAATAAATAAAATGTCTTTTGACTGATTTCAGTCTAACTTGCTATAATACCACTTCCTAAACAGCTGTTTCCAGTAATTACACATACAAAATTAATTTTCAGAACTAATGCTTTCTTGCAAAACTAATGGTAGTACCCACTCACGGGGGTATTCTCTGTATATTTGACAATCCTTTCACCACTGTGTCCCTCCTTGTTCTCAAATCTAATGTGTCTGTGACACTTGTAAGCCTAATGTCTCATGGATTAGCTTTTAATGAATCACTGATCCCTCTATCAGCACTGTGGTGTAAGGTATTGTTACATTAGAAGCTTCCAGAAAAGGAAAAGCCAACACTAAAAATACCTCCAAGGAACAGCAAAGCATCAGTGTGTCTAAAATTTCTGATCAGTGTGTCTAAAATTTCCGAATTATGGTTTTATTCTTCTTCAGTCTTCAGAACAAAAGTTTCTCTAAAATATAACTGGCTGAAATATTTGTAAATAAATTAATCTTGCACTATTTTCTAGTATCAGTCTTTATTTTTAGATTGAACAGATTATATGTTGCTGTATCAGTATAGGTCTTCAAGCAGTTGTAATAGGTCAACAGTTAGGCTGTGATACATTTCACAAGTCTGAACACCATGAAAACCACAAGAAGAAAAGTTACTGCTTTACCTTTTCCCTTTTTTTTTCTCCTTCCCTTTATTACCTTTTGTTCTTTTTCACCTTTCCTTGCCTGGCTTCATCTCCCCTCTTCTCTCCAAGTTCTTCTTCAACATTTCTTTTTTCTTTTTTCTTTTATCTTTTTTCTTTTTTCTTTTATCTTTTTTCTTTTTTCTTTTATCTTTTTTCTTTTTTCTTTTTTCTTTTTTCTTTTTTCTTTTATCTTTTTTTTCTTTTTTCTTTTTTCTTTTATATTTTTTCTTTTTTCTTTTTTCTTTTTTCTTTTTTCTTTTTTCTTTTTTTTCTTTTTTCTTTTTATTTTTCCTTTTTCCTTTTTCTTCTTTTTAAATTTTTTTTTCTTGTCCTTTTTTTCATTCCTTTTTCTTTTCCTTTCCCTTTCCCTTTTTTCCTTCTTTTCATTTTTCCTTTTTCTCTTATTTTCTCATTTTTCAAGAAAACCAGCAAACTACAATTGGGTTAAAAGTTGCATACCACAAAAAAAGCAAACAGTAGGCCTTGATGAAGGAGATCCTAATGCCCCCAAGAGCAGCACAGGCACAAATATGGAATCCTCAATGAAATAACACAGATGTGAGCTCAGAAATTGTTCCCAAATTTAACCTCATGGTTTACCTTAGAAGTTCAGAAAGTGAGATCCACGTAATACTTTCTAATTTCTACCATGTGTGATTGCCTACGTGGTGTTGGTTTCTCCTGTCTTTCTCCAGCTGCTGACCTGTGTTTTAAAATGATAGCTAAAAATACATGAGTACTTTCCTACGCCTTTTTCCATGTAAGCCATTGCTGGAATCGTCACTGGGATGTTATGTGACAGACACAGGAGCAGGTGATGCCTGTCAGTAGGAATAGCAGCCTGCATGACAATGTCCGTATGAAAAGGTTTTCCGTACTATGCGTTACCTCTCGCTCTGTGTTTTTAGCATGTTTTCTCTTGGCAGCTTCGCAAGGTGCTTTCTTGTTTGCTTTGGAGATGTGTTAAACCAAAGGCAGCAATTGTGTCAGTAGCTTGTGGTGCCAGAGAATACCAAGACTTTCTGAAAACATTGCTTCTAGTTTAGGATGCCTCTAGCTCTCCTGTAATAGATTCAGCTGTAGAGAAGAGAGAAGAACATGTTCTGCATAAGGTAGGACTTTCTCTAGTACTTTGGCTTTTCTTCTTCCTTTAGAAAAAATAATCACCAGCAGATATTAAGAGCATTCATAATTTTTCCCACTTTACCTTCTATCTAACCTGCGCAGGACCAAGTTGTGTTTCAGAGATCAGTAAGAGAATCTCATTGAAAAAAAAGACTGAACCTATAAAGCACCCTTTCTGCAGCTGTTGGGGTGAGCAGTGCCTTGGCCATCATTTCGCTGAGCACACTCAAAAGACCTGTGCATTGTTTTGAGTGGGCAAAGCTGCTCCTGGTTGTCTTCCTTATCTAGGGGCAGATTGTTGGACCAAACACCTCGCAGAACTAAGCAGTGATGAGATGCCCAGGGATGAGGGAGGCTATGAGATGCAGGACCTTGCACACACCAGTTCATGGCCATTTCCCCAGAGCCTACCAACAGTAAGGCAGACCAATCCATTGATTTCTGACAACTTTTGCAGGCTGGACAGTGTTTTCAATTTGTTTCTTGTTTTTTGATGAGGCCTCCATAATGCTGTTCCCTTCTGCCCATTCCACTGTCCCTGCAACAGCCAGTCCTTTTGGCTGCCAGAGTGTCTAAAATGGTGATCAGGTATTTAACATGAAATTCAGGATCAGGAGACAGGACCTTCTCTTTTGCACACCAGAGACATTAAACCAGAAAATCCTACAACCGTATGCTTTTAGCAAATGCCATGGGATGCCACCACACCCTGCTACTCAGCAGCATCTGGATCCCTAGCAGAATGGAAAACTTGGAGTGCACTGGTGCTGGAGGCAGCGGGCAGGTCTGGGAAAGAGTGCCAGCTCCTCTCCCTTGGCACCTCAGCTCTCCTCCTCTCACAACACAGGGGTGTCCACTGCAGAGGTTTCTCTGGGACAGGCCAGCCAGCAGGATAGGGTTGCACTGCTGCCCATTAGCATATTAGGCTGTTACCACTCTGATGCTGCCTGTGATAAGTGTCCCCAAAGAACCTATAAATAAGTAACTAAGCAGCCTGTCTTATGCATCCTAAGTATTTGTGGGCCAAGAAGACAGGAAACTTTTGAAGGTGGCTTTGCCTCCTCTGCAGGACTAAGCAGTCTGTCCTCCAAACACTGAAAACCATGCAGCAACAGTTCCATAAACCAGCAGCACATTGAGGCACATCACATACATTAAAAAGATTGGAAACCAAAATTCCTCTCCAGAGGAAGAGAGGCAGATAAAATACATGTTAGACCATTTTGCAGGATCAGGGAGGAGCCCAAGTGTCTGCCTCATTATGTGGCATAGCTCACAGCGCTGGGAAGTGAATTCTGCTGGCACAGGGTTCCCCCGTGCATGGGGATTACCTGTCTGGATACTGCCAATGGGATTAGAACTGACTTTGTAGTTGATATAGAGGTGACTATATTTCATTGATAGATGACATAGTTTAAGAGGCACAGGATGCAACTTGGGAAAAGACAGTAAGGAAAAATTAAGGATGATGACTTAGCCTGCTGAGAATGGTGGTCATGCTCCCAAACATGAGGCCCTTACTTAGGCCTCCTTCCTTGAGGGGAAACCATGTTGTTTTCCAAACACTAGGTTCAAGCAGATTTACCACTACCTTCATTTTCTGAGGTGGTGTCAGAATTCAGTGTCATTGTACCACTGCCCTTGCACAGAATGCATTTCAGATTTACATGGTCACGATGGTCATTTGCAGGTGACGTCATCTTGGAAGAACTGCAGATGCCCTAAATAGGTGCCATAGCTGTTTGTTCATTTTCTGCCGCTGGCTGGTGAATATGGATCAAACACTCAACCCATGCAACATGTCTTGGTACTTAAGGCAATGCAGTATTCCCACAAATGCTACATTTCAGATGGCATCCTGTAATAACACTCTAACATGGAAAAGGAAATCCCTGAATAGAGCTCACTTGTAGTGTATTTTAACGAAGTTGTTTGAATTTTATAGCTCATATGTGATTAATTACTGTGAATATTCCTAGCAGAGAGGGTCTGATCTTCTTCCCTTCACAGTCAATAGTAGTTTGGCTATGTTGAAAGCAAGACTAGTCTGTATTTTACTGTGGCCATTTATAGCTCCAAAGCAGTCCTGTAGGGAGGGGTAAGCAGGGCATCTGGTTCCACTGCTGTTCTGAGAGATCAGAGATGACCCTAAAGCACATTGGTTGATGGCCCCACGTGTTTTTCTGAATACACCAGATACTAGTTAGGGAGGAGAGGGATGGCAATCTTGAAGTTAAAATATCAGCAGACTTGCTAGGAGAGGGAATGAAGCTGGATATTTTTAGTGAATTATACTCTGAATTCCGGTTCTTTCTTTATTCTGAAAATTCCCATAGCTGGGACAAATGAGCCTCTTGGTGCAACATAGAAGCTTTGTCTCCTTGGCTGTGGTCAATTTGGTAAGGGAAAGGGTGGATGATACCACCTGTGCAATGTTGAAATATGGTCACTCCCTATCAAAACCTACAAGGTATTCTTTTTCACATTAGACATGGGCCAGTTGTCAGGCATTTTTCTTTTATTGGCCTTTAAAAATACCCACAAAGTCGTTATAAATAGACTTTCTTCCATTCAAGATGGCAAATGCATCCGTCTGCTGAAGGATGTAATTTTCAATATGTGCACTTGAAATGCAGCCAAATGGAATCCAAATGTCACAACCCAACTGGACAAGGACCAGCCCCTCACTCTGCAAACAGCCTGCATAATATTGCACTGAGGGGCCGGGTCCAGTTTCTTTCAGAGACCATGGGGTGCCAGCTGCTGGGGCACAGCTGGGCCTTCCCCAACCTTTGAGCTTGACACTCCCTAAAGCATGAGTGTCTTTGCTGCCTTTCTTCATTTTCTACATGTGGACTTAATTTAAAGAATGTTTTATTCCACTTCTGCTTATCAAAATTAATCCCCTGCGGGTATGCAGGCTGCATTCTGTTTATGAAGCTATTTCACTGAATGGTGAAGTACCCCTCCAGCTTCTCATGGTGTCAGAAAGCTGACACCTCTTGATTCTTCCCTCCTAGACCCATCTATTGTTATTGACTTCAAGCTCCAGCTTTTGTGCTGAGTTCAGTATTTTATTTAGTAACAGATCCACACCAATTAAAGCATTGCCTAAATCCCCAGCTGTCCGAGGGCCTGATTCTTCAAACAAGCAAAGGTCCAACATACCATCCCTCTTCCTCCAGATTAAAAGAGGTTGTAGTCAAGGGACATTGCCAGGGTTACTATTGTGGTGATAGCCTTCACAAAGCAGATTTAAGAGCATAGTCCTGATGTGGGATTTGAATGCTATCAAAAAGCAAATAACAGCAACCCCGTTGTTGTTTGTTTTGGTTTTTTTTTTTAATTCTTAGGAGGTATCTACTGACTTCTAACCTGTACCAATAGTAAAAGCCATCAGTGGAACATTTGGGCCTCTCAGCCTTGATATTTTGTTTTAATGGTTATAAACCAGAGACAGAACCATGGTTTCCTGCTAACTGCAATCTCATCATATTTATCTTTGCCTACATTTTACCTAGAAGGAAAGGAAAATACCTTCAGTGTTGCCCTCACTTTAGAACATGGTAATTCTAAATGAGGGACAGAGGAGATGCAGTGACCCCGACTAGCATTGCTTGCTTCCCTAAGTGCTTCCACTGCCCACAACACACAGAAGAAAGAGCTGGCGGTGCTGTGTGGGACAAAGCCCTCACGCTCCTGCTACACCATGCATCATGAAGCTTGTTGAGCACTTTGCATGCTTTTTAACAGGCCACTAACATCAACTCTCTTTGAGAAGTTCTACATTTAAGTGTTTTTTTCCCATTTCATGCGTAGCAGCATGCCATTAAAGCAAAGTAAGAAGGTAGTGACAATGTTGACTACTTGAAAAGACATTTATGTTTTCTCTTGCACAGCACCAAAAGCGCACACTTCTGTGGAGATAATAAGATGCTTATAGACCCTCTGGTGCTGAAGAAGAAGCTCAATAGGATGGCAACAGAGCCAGGAGCCTTTGCTGTTCTCAGCAGCCTGCTGCTATACGTCACCGAGCTCACGGCCGGGGATCCACAGATCAGCAACAAGAGGACAAAATGGGCAGAAGGTAAAGAAAACCAGGTGAGCTCTAACCAGCCATGTCCAGATCCAATCAGGGTTCAATATCCAACCAGATTTCAGCTCTTGCGGTCCAGGTTTCTAAACAACAATCGTGAGCCGTACACCAAGAAGAGAAGAGAAGTTGGCAAACTGGTCATTAAAGAGAAGATGTGGGTGAGCAGGACTGGTAACAAGCTGGACAGAAGTAGAGACAGGAAGGGAGATGGGAAAGCAGTGGAGGAGGATGCAGATGTAATACCCAGTGAGAGGGCAAGGTGGAGTAGTGTGACTGGGAAAAACACAGTGAAGAACATCCTGAAGAAATTTTTAGCTGCTGAAGAAAAAGAAGCCAAGGAGAAGTCTCCCAGCTGGAAAAAGAAGGGAACAAACAGCAGTTTGCCAAAAATAGTCAACAAGAATTCAGTCTTGTCCAAACTGAAGGAGCAGTTTGAACAAAGCACTCTCTGCTCAGCTGCAGAGGTGAAAGCATCACTCTTGCGCAAAGGTGAGAGAAAGACTAAAAACTTCCCCAGCAGAAAAGCTATTCATAAGCCTGAGGTCAGAGTGCTGCGCATGGCAGCAATGACAGCCACAGGTATAAAGAGCCCAGATTCACAAAATTTAGTGTGCTCCATGGTCCCAGTGCCCAGACTCAGCATGGCTACCAAAATTAACCATCCTTGGAGCTGGTCGAAAAATAATGCCACAAAGCAGCCTTTTGGTCACGCCACACTACTGAAGGAAAAGGAGGGATCCAACAGAGACCACGGAGAGAACAAAACACTGGCAAATGCAGCACAGGACAGGGAGGACAAAGAAGAGTTACTGGTGGCACCAGAGGCCATGTCAGATGCGAAGGACAGTGCTGAGGCTAAAATAGATTCCACAAAACAGGGACCCAACTTTCATCTTGTTCTAGATAACTCTTCAACTACGCATGAAAACAAAGCCCTCGCAAACTCCATTCCTCCCTTACCTGAATGTGGTCTAGACTGTGACAGGACTAACATGCCAGCTGGGCCTGACACATCTTCACTATTGGGAATTACCAATGCTCTGCAACATGTTAAGGAAGACAGCCCACCTTCTGACTCACCTGACTATAGCACAGCTGGAGAATCCCATGAACAAAGTCCTCAGGATACCAAACCAGGAGAGATTCCTGAAATATCTCTGTATGTATACTGTTCAGACGAAGATGACACAGAGCTCACAGAGCCAGAAAAAGATCCTTTCTTTGCAGGCCAAAAATGTTTTCCAGAGCAGAAAGTACTGGAAAACATTCTGCCATTTTACTCTCCAAAATTTTCAGCATCTTGTGAACTTGAGTCTTCAATGGATGATAGACAGCTGACTGTCCTAACACCAGCTTCTGGCACAAAGCCACCAATAGAGGCGCTGGATTTAAGAGTCAAATGTTCAAAGGAAGCCAAAAAAGAAGCAACATTTCACAGTGAAGACAAAATGCCTGCTAGCAAAAATGATAGTGATGTCCCAAACAGAGAGGAGGAGGAGAATAAGACACCCAACAGCCAAATGCAAAATGGATTAAAAACTATGCAGGCTCAGCCTCCTCAAGTGTATTTTAGCTCACAAAATAACTTTAATGTTTCCAATGGGGACATGCCAGTTCCAGATGCAAATCAGAACAAACCTACACTCTTCTCAAAAGAGAGCCTGGAGCCAAAGCCTGGTGCTGCAGAAGAGGAGAACACCTCTTCTTTGGAAAAGATACTGAGCCCTTTGCCAGATGACCTTGTGAAGCATAGTTTCTTTATTTCAGAAGATTTTGGGCAGGACAAATTCTCTTCATCCAATGAAGTGATGAATCACTCAAACAACCAAGCCCTGCAAAGGAGTTCCTTAACTGACCTGGAGACCTGCCACAAGCCATCTGAATCTTTCATTGAGCATGAAGAGGACACTGCAGATGAGATGCCCTGGTCTGACTCTGAGGCATGGCAGTCACCCTTGTCAATCCCTTTACCAATATCAATGAGTGGGATTGCAGGACAAAGTATCCATCACACTCTTGGAAATACTCCAGCACTTCCACCTATTGATCTGGTGGGACAGGGAGCTGGTGCTGTGGAACATGAGCATGACAGCCATGGCTGTGAGAAGCATCCACACCCCCTTTCAGATGAGCTGACAGATTGTGGGAATGACACAATGGGGAAGAAGAAAACTATGTTTGATTTTAAGAACCAAGCACGATTTCCAGATAATGCAACAGAAAATGAAAATTCTACAGACAAAGAGACAAATTCATGTCAGAGACTTGAGAACTGTCTTTCACATTCAATCACAAAGCCAGGAAAACGTGAAAATAAAACCACACTACCAGGAAATCCCCTATTACCCTTGGAGAAGAGCCAAACACCAATATTAGATGATACCAAAAAGCATGGATGTGATATGCTAGAAGAGAACCCAATTCCTTCATCAGCTGAATTAATCTCAAACCAGAAGAAGGATGCAAAAAGTAGAAATAAAATATCTGAGTACACAAGGGATAAGCTCTTCTCATCAGATGATGACATGAAGCATGAAAGTGATAGGATGGAGAGAGAGGAGAAAGAAGAGAGAAATGTCTTGCATAAATTTGAGGAGGAACAAGTATTCACACCAAATGATACTGTGGACTATGATAATAACTCTTCAAAGGAGAATGATGCTCATAGTCCTCAAACATCCCAGTTACCTTCATCAGAGAATGATACTAACATTCAAGGAGTGAAAAATACTGGACAGAGTTTGGAGCATCTAGCATCTCCAAGAGATTTGGTGAAACACAAACATGATATGACAGGCGATGAAAACATCTATTGCAACAATAGGAAAAAACATCTGGACTCAACAGATGAGCCAATGAAACATACTAATGACAGTGAAGAGCTAGAAAACCTTGAGTCAGACTTCCACAATTATTCAGTGCTGCCAAGAAATACAGCAAGGCAGGACAGTAAGATGGCTGATGAGGACATTACTGCTCTAGAGACACAGAAACAGATGTCACCAGGTGACCTTGTAAAGCCTGAAGCTAAGCCAGACAAAAAAGAGACTAAACATACCTCTGAGAAGTTCCAGTCACCTTCTTCAAACAAAGTGGCAAATTGTCATGACAGAAGTTCTTCAGGAGAGAGGAAGCAAAATATATCAGCAGCAGAAGACACTGGATCACCTGAAACAGAGGTAGTAAAAGAGGATATTGAGCAGCAGTTTTCTGGGAAGCACCAGCTACCTCCATCAAGAAAATCAGAAATGGATGAGCAAAATATTCCAGGAGACAAACAGCAAATGAGATTTGAAGATTTTCTGACACCTGATACAAATACTGCAAAAGAGAAAGACAAAATTCCAAGTTCCAGGAAGTATCCATCAGTACCACCAGAAACATTGGTTAAGCCCCAAGAAAAAATTACTCCAGAACAAAAGCAAAAAACATCAGATTCTTCAGGTTTTAAGAAGCCTGGTACTAATTATGTAAAAGAAAAGGATGGAGATCCAAATTCTGAGAAGCTGCCTTCTTCAAAAGAAGTGCTGAAGCCTCAAGAAAAAAGCACTTCAGGAGACAGGAAGCAAAAGAAACCAGCAGGAGAGGACACCAGGTCACCTGAAGAAAAGGCTGTAAAAGAGAAAGATAAATACCAAGGTTCTGGGAACCATCCATTACCTCCATTAAGTAAATTACTGGAGCCTGAGAAAAATATTCCAGGAGGAGAAAAACCACAAACTGTATCAGAAACTTTTACAAAGACTAATGCAAATGCTCTAAAAGATAAAAGCAAAGATCCATCTTCTGGGATGTGCCAGTTCCCACACCCAAATTTGCCTGTGAAGTCTCAAGAAAATAATGCCACAACCAAAAAGGAGCATTTGCCACCACCACATGATGAAAAGCCAACATATAAAGCTGGTAGTCCGGAAAAGAATAGTGAACCTGAGAGAAGAGAGAAATACCAGCTAGGCTCTTCAGCTCAGTCAGAGAGGCACAGCATTGATGGCTCAGGACAGGAGGGCCCTGTGGATGATTTCAGAAACTATCAATCTCCATTGCCAAGCAATGGCATAAACTGTAAAAGCAGTGTTGCCCCGAAAGAGACCAGCTTGTCTAATACAGAGAAATCCCCCAAATCATCCTCATCATTACATGTTGCATCAAAAGATGAGGTAAATCCTACTGGAAGCAGAGAAAAGCAGCCTGGATTTAAGAAGTACAAAGCACTCTCGTCAAAGACGTTGGTGGGGCATGAGAAAGATGCTGCTGAAAGGGAGGGGAGCAGGCAGGCAGCTGGCAAAACAAGTGAGAAAAAAGCAGAGCTGGAGGACTGCTCCAAAGTAACACCATTCTCAAAATACACAGTGGAAAGCTACAGTGAAGGATCCTTAGATTCGGCTTTCAAACCATTGATCATTAGAGTAACTGACACATTTAAACATCACAGCTAAAAATTACAGCTACAGCTTAGGCAAGAACTTACAACAGATCATGCTACCGATTCACTTGATCTTTCTTTTCTCCTTTTTTCTCCAGGGCATTATATTATCATTTTTTAATCACAAGGACATTGAAGTGCATCTATCAGAGATAGGGTTTTTTTCTTTCTTAAACATTAGCCTGAAGACATGAATTAAATTAATCACTGCAAGTGAATTAGCTAATCACTGAATTAATCATCAGTTTATAAATTAAATATGAGAAGGGCTTTGAGATCAGCATGAATTCAGTCCTGCTTCAAATTCTCCTTGCTAACTAATGGGCTTTGTTTGCAACAAAGACAACTGTTCAGGCTGAACTCTATTTGTATTTACTTGTTCTAATGAAACTCTGCTAGTACTTCTTTCAGGAATAGTGGTAGGCAGTATAGTTTTAATTATGTCAAAAAGCACTTGTTCTAAGCTCTGCCTTTTCACAGATTAGCAGGAACTGTTGATCTATTGCTGCTCTGAGTGACACTGTTAGCAGAAGTAGTGAGGGAAGGAGGGGAATGCTTCATTTATCTGCAGAAAAATCCTCAAAAGACATTGATGCTACAAGGGGATTTACCGCAAATGCAAATGGTCAGCCTCATTAATATTAATATTGGAAAAATTGTGATTTTGCCTCCTCTGAAGCTATTTGCACTCTGTCCACACACACTGTATGCATTATTGCTGTAAAAGTATGCCATTTCAAGAGGTTCTTAATTACTGCAAATGAATATGCAACAAGTGTAAGAGCTCAAAAAAGCTCAATGCTGAAAGGCGATGAGGACAAGGTAAGCCAGAGGGGCTCAACACTTTGACATAGCAATTCAGCTTTTCCTGGGACATCTGTCCCATTACAAATGCTGGGGCACACAGACATGAGGCAGGTGCCTCAGCTCACATTTAAAGTCTTAGAAAGTTTTTATTTTACAATGCAATGTGAAACAGAGCAGTAAAAAGCAGCCAGTGTCACTGAATCCTACTAATAGGGTATGAATTTTTGTGTTTACAATAATAGCATCTTCTGCAAAAGGTTTGTGTTTGATGAACATTGTTCTGGAGAAGAGAGGGCAGGGTTGCTGCCTGGGGTGTCTTTGTAAAGCTGTGACAGACAGGACGTCTCACAGTGCCAGCTCTCCCATACACAAGTTTAGCCTAGCATTTAAACAGCACATTCATATTAAAACTTACTGTGGAGGAACCTAAAGGCATATCCTAAGGACTCAACTTCAGCAGGAGAGAGGGTTCATGCAAACAAGGCCCTGCTTCCCTGTGGCAGTGAATTCCCTTCCATTTTTATGACGCTCTCCATAACCACCCTCTGCAGCTGAGGTCTGGCTGTTCCTTAAGCCCAGGTTGGCAGAATGCCCCCACCCACTGCCATCAAGAGACTGAGGACAAGAACAGGCTGGCAGCAAGCTGAGATCAAACCCATTTGTCAGCACAATGCACACGAGTCACATACGTGACAACAGTGCTGGCCCAGTCGGGGACATTGCTGGGAGGAAGTGGGAACGTGAACATCGTGTCTCCTGACCACTGAAGAGGCTTAAACTTTGATTTCATTTTCCTTCCCAGCCTGCCAAGAATTAGGCTTTCTGGCATACAGAGGGTCACAAAATAAAAAATGTATTGGTATATCATACCAGTGCTCAAAAACTAAAATAGATTTTATTGGAGATACAACACTGCCCGTGCACACAGCGGTTTACTTCACCCACCAAACTTTTATAAGCTGGGAACTGTAAAGGCCACTTTGTTATAAGCCAAAAGCACAATTTACTTTTTATTGTCCATGATTTCATTTCACATTTGAGAAAAGTCCTTACAGCATGGAGCATTTGCACCAGACTTGAATAATAAATTCTCTATTAGCTGGCTTCTTCTGTCTGTACAGGAATATCACAGAATCACAGAATTGTTGTGATTGGAAAAGATTTCTAAGAATATCGTGTCTACCCATTACCCAGCTCCACAAAGTCCACCACTAAACCATGTCCCTAAGCATCACATCCACATATTTTTTGAACCCTTCCAGGGATGGTGGCTCCACCATTTCCCTGTGCAGCCTGTGCCAATCCCTGACACTCATTTTGGTGAAGAAAGTTTTCCTAATATCCAATCTAAACCTCCTCCAGCACAACTTGAGGCCATCTCCTCTCGTCCATTGCTTGTTACCTGGGAGAAGAGACCAACACAAACCTCACTAAAACCTCCTTTCAAGCAGTTGTAGAGAGTGATGAGATCCCTCCTCAGTTTCCTTTTCTCTAGGCCAAACACCCTCAGCAGATCCTCATCAGACTTGTGCTCCAGACCCTTCACCAGCTCCATTGCTCTTCTCTGGACATGCTCCAGCCCCACAATGTCCTTCTTGTAGCAAGAAGCCCAAAACTGAACACAGGATTTGAGGTGTGCCCTCCCCAGTGCTGAGTACAGGGGACAATCACTGCCCTGGTCCTGCTGGCCACACTATTGCTGACACAGGCCAGGTGCCACTGGCCTCCTTGGCCACCTGGGCACTGCTGGCTCATGTTCACCCCCAGATCCTTTTCTTCCAGGAACCTTTCCAGCCTCTCTGTCCTGTAGCACTGCCTGGGGTTATTGTGACCCAAAGGCAGGAGCCAGCACTTTGCCTTGATGAGCCTCACACCACTTGATCTCAGCCCATCGATCCAGCCTGTCCAGACCCCTCTGCAGAGCCTTCCTGCCTTCCAGCAGATCAACACTCCTGCCCAGCTTGGTGGCACCCAGGAACTAACTCACAGCAGGCTCAATCCCCACATCCAGATCACATCAGATAAAGGTATTAAACAGAACTGGACCCAGTACTGAGTCCTGGGGAACATCACAGGTGACCAGACACCAGATGGATGCAACTCCATTCACCCTCACCCTCTGGGCCTGGCCATCCCTCTGGTTTTTTAGCCAGCAAACAGTTCACCCATCCTAGCCACGAGCAGCCAATTCCTCCAGGCCAATGCTGTGGAAAATAGTGTCAAAGGCTTTATTAAGTTCGAGTTAGACAATATACTCAGTCTTTCCCTTATCCACTAGACAAGTCACCTTCTCATAGAGGGAGTTTTAACTAATCTTATTAGACTTTAATTGTTCTAATTTTAAGCCATCTCAATTATTCTTTTCCTAACCTTTTAAAAGAAATTGGGGGGGACTTTGCCCCTTATTCCCACCTGGGAATATAGTAATATTTCTGTAACAAACTGTAAACTCTGTAACAAATTGAAGTTCTTGTCTCTGCCAGAAAGTTAGACAAATATTAAGCAGGTACTTCTCAGCAGAGCTTGTCCTTTCACACCAGGAGGCCCTTAAGTCTTTCATTTTACACCTGCCTTGTTTGCTTTTCTCAACAGAGATGCAACACTAGTAGACTAAGATCCAGCATCCTGTGTTCAGGGTAAACCAGGCAGAGTCATCTTGTGGGGGTCAGCTTTTAGGTTGTGGCATGCCTCAATCTCTGCTAGTAAAATAAAACATCCATCCAAGTCAAATGACCCTCCCCAACGTACACTTAAAACCTGACATAGATTTGCATTAAATGTATCCTTATGGGTAAAGCCTCACTTAAGGAAATCACTTCATGCTGGGAGTTAGCACGCTTAATCCTTCAGGAAAGAAGAGAGCAAGGCCATAAAAATTCCAGTGATGGTGGAGCAGTAGAAGACCAGTGTGTCTTGCAGTAAACAAGTCACTACAGACCATGTGGGCAGGAAATTTAGCACTGGTGATAAGCAAAGAAATGCCAGAAATGAGCATTTCAGAAAGAAAACTAGTTTGAGGAATGATATATTAATCTATGCAAATGGCGCCAGGTGTGCAAATGGGCCAGTCTTGAACTCTTATTAGACCCTTTCTGACACAAAACAGTTTCATTCCCAGTGTCCAGTAGTCCTTCATAAATTTTTTACCGCCAGGAGCAGAGCCCTTCTGTCCCTGCTATCCTCTAGGCATATCTCCACTTCATCACAGGAGAGGCAGTGAACAGAGCCCTCCTAGCTGCTGTTTCAATTTATCTGACCTAATAACAGATACTTTTGAGTCATCTGCCAGCACATCTCTTTGCTTTTGTGGTTCTGGACAATGGGTGTAATTCTATGCAGTTCTGTTCCTTTTCCAGACTACAGCCCTCTGTTTTACTAATACAGTTCTCAAGGCAAGCATCTCTCAAGGTCACTGGAGAAATTATATCCTCAGCCTATACTAAATGTAACAGGAATTTTTTTTAGTAATGGTTTCTTAAGGCCCTGGCTTAGCTATAGACACAGGTACACAATCACAACCAGACCAGAAACAGGGAATATAAAAAAACCCCAAAGCCCAGGTAGACAAGGTTTTTCAAGGTCCCTCTATGGTGGGAAATTTGAATATGAAGAAATTTTGAAATTTCATATTTTTATGCAATTGGACTCTCATGGAAAGAGATTTTTTAAGGAGACTGAGAAAAATTAATGACAATATTATTGCTTCAAGCATTGTCCATTGCTTTGGTGTCTCCAAAGTGAAGCTTTCCAGAAGTTTTTGAATAAAAGAGGCATTTAAGATGCTGAGCTAGAGCTGGGGTACTTGAAGGATCCCATCTGCAGAAGCAGGTCTGAGGGGGACTCAGTAACTAGTGGTGCATAGAGACTGAGGCAGCAGAGAAGACAGGCAGGCTCCCAGCACCAGCCATCAGTAAAGTCCTTCAGACTTTTTTATGTCCTCTCTAATTAGGCCATAGTCAAATCTCAGAACAAGTTCAACTGCCCCCTGGATGTGCCTCTCTCTCCCTCCATCTCCCGCAGCAACACAGTCCTTGATTAAGGTGTCTGGGGCTGACTGGGATAAACCCAGGCCTCAGAATCCCAGGTTTGCAAAGAGACAATCACTTTCCCCAAAAGTTTCATGAAGTTTCATGATGCCTATATTTCTGGGACTTCAGGTCATAGGAGAGCTCAGAGGGCCATAGGAGAGCTCCCCCTCCCCCCAATTCAGAAAGGGCTGCTCAGCCATGCTGGATGAGTATTGTCTCTATATAACAAAGATCTTTTTCTTTCTTTTTTAAGTTGATTTTTTTCATTTTTCATTAATTTCAGATTTTAAAAGGGCACATAAAGCATAGCTATTCCCAGTAAAAGAAGCCCAAATCCTATGAAAGTTTACCCCATGGAAGAACAGAGGCCAGTGCTGTATCATGAGACACAACTGGTCCACTACAGTGTCAGGAAATGTGTCACTGCTTTCACCCAGACATCAAAACCAGGAAGAAATAGTTGTCCTGGTAGTACCATCTGATTCCAAATTGTTCAAGTGAAATTAAAAAAAAAAAATAAAAAATTAACGAGTGCACACTTTTGGCTATGAACTGTATAACTTAGTAATTGATCAGCATCTTCTTCAGCTGGATAACCTTTAACACATCACACATGACAAAAAAGATAGAGACTGAGACCTTAAATTGTACTTTTTGACTCAGGTTTCCCCCTTTATACTATTTTGGAGCTGATAAAAGAAGAATGCACTAAAGAGAACAGAAGAGATCTCATATCCCACCACACAGGACTACTCTGCATCTGTCCCAGGCACAATATGCTGCAGATGAAATCTGGGCTGCTGACAGTAGAAATGCCCCACCTAACGGTTGAATTTGTAAAGCAGGATGCAGGCAAGCAGTGGTGAAAGAAGAGGAAAAATAGTGCCAGAAATAGTAGGAAAACATTTCTTCTCTTATTCCTGTGCACTATGGACACCATCCAAAAGAAGTTTGTCTGGTTGATCAGAGAAACCTGACAAGTAATAGCCAGGATCCTTACAGGTTTTGGGGCAGGGGGTTTCTCTGGAACACTAAAGTAAATCTCTGTTACCTGAGAAATGAGCACAGAGTTATGTATTATCAGAAAAACATTTTAACTATTGCACTCACAATGCAGTTCCCAAATTTTAGTAGGTCCTGTGAGATTTATTTCTCCTTTTCATTTCTATAAACTTCTTTTTATAGAATTTAAATATTTTTCACTCCTTGATGAGAATTTAGGAAAAATAGGGAGAGAAGAAAGCTTGCTAGGTATCTGCTTTCCTGCCAACTAAAATATTTTTTGTATACTGAATAACCAAAGAATCAGCAGGTCAGTATTTTACCTCTTCTGACCTGAAGGACCTGAAACAGTTTAGGTAATTGCTACACACTTCCTTTTACTGTACTCGGTGGTAACCTCAATGTGCCCTCAGTTGTAGGTGCAAGAACAACTGTGTAAGATGGTGAGATTTTCATTTGGCAAACAAGCACTACAGCAGGCTCTCAGTGATGCTTGTCACGCGACAGCAGAAATGTACTGCCAGGGGGAAAAATCACTGGGAAATAAAGCCATAAAAATCTATGGTGCATTGAACTGGTTATCCTCAAAAAGCCACCAAATAGCTGTCATGGGCTCTCTTTTAAAAAATTGATAGTGACCTCGAATATCCAAAAAGGGGTATCTTATCACAGATCTGATTTTTGGGGAAAGTGCTCAGCATTTGCTCTCTGAAAACCAAGATTCTTTCATAAGATGCCTCATGGCAGGCAACCAAAGCCCCTTCTAAATAAAATGCCCTCGATTCCAGAAATGCAGAAGTTTCATGGGTACCTACTTGCCCCTGCACCTACAAAAGAAAAGCATGTGAGCAAAAGAATTGGTGTGCAGAGACAGCCAGCTCCCTGCACCCCCGTAGGGAATGCAGCCAGTGCCATGCTTTTACCACAAAGAATTTCAACTACTTTCTGCAGGCTACACACCATTTTGATCTGAACAACAGCATTTGCTGCAGTTTCTGGTTGAGATGCAATCAAAATAGTAGGTGAACCCTTCCCATCACTGTACTTCCCAAGACTTCTGGAAGGAATCAAAGAAAGAAGCCTTTTGGACACTTCAGGGCCAGTCCATCCTTCTCAAGAAACCTTGTGAAGTCAAATTACACCATGAGAGTGAAATCCTTGTGCCCCTTGGGATCTGTACCAATACAATGGACTATCAAAAGGCAGCTCTGGATTGCTAACCCAGTTACTGAGATCTTTCTTCTCAGAAATGGGAACAGTGCAGGCAGCAGTGACCCAAACACCCAAATAAGGTCCCACTAAATATCTCTCAACTCTAAATGTCTCCAAGCTCCAGGACACTTAATGCAGAAGACCAGAAATTCCCAAAAGACATCTTCTTTATTAATTAATTTAAATTACACACATAATGTGACAAGAAAGTCTCTACCATTGTCATGCCATACAGATTTCTCAATAAAACTGTTTTCCTCCTCAGAGGGTTCCTTATTTGTACCACTGAGTTTTCTTTG